TCCTTCCTATGGAGTATTATACGAGTATGTAAATGAAATATTCAAAGTTGGATAATTATTAACGCAAGATAAATACATGAAGGCTTTTCAGATAATGTATTCAAAAACTTAATGAAATAAAATTAATAAAGTTTATATCTCATTGGCATTCAAGATCCGTTGTATTGTAAATCCCGTAACTGTTATCTTCTCCGTAACGCCTTTTGCTATTTTGGAATAAAATGCCTAGTAAAACGATAATATCGTCTTAACAGCATTCCGTTAAAGATCATTGCTGTTTACATAAAGGAAGTCTGTACTCCTTTGTCTGGAAACAATATAGAGAAAGTTTGTCGTAATTCGAATTACTTTGTAGAACTATTAACATTTCCCGTTTAAAGTTATTTCTTAAAGAATTTTAGTCGTAGAAGTTTTATGTTAGCTTATGTGGCTTCAAGTGCTGTCAGGATCGTTAAGTCTAACTAAGTAACTTATTGCATTTGGCTGTCACTCTTTAGTGGCTTTGCGTAGTTGGCGAGAAAAGTAATCTTATGTAATATAATTATGAAGAATTATTAAAGTATGCTAAGATATATAAATAAATTTATATAATACTAGCATTTCCCGCGGCTCCGCCTGCGTTCAGATGACCAAAAACCAAATTCTTAGGTTTTAAATATAAGTAGTACTCTTACATTGCAGTTTTTGTATTTTTACTCATAAATGAGATATTTTCCCGCGGTAAAAAGTATCCTATATGTTGACCCGGATAACCAGCTATCACCATACCAAATTTCATCAAAATCCCTCCAGTGGTTTTTCCGTGATGCGGTAACAGACAGACAGACAGACAAAAATTCTAAAAACTATAGGTTCGATAATAATGTTTATTTCAATGAGATTTTGCAAAAAATATTTAATGTACAGATTCGGTTTAGTCACAATTTTATTATATGTATAGTTTAAAATCTATTTAAATAGGCATTGGTAGCCCTGTGGTAACACGCTTGTTTGGAAAATTAAGTGATGTGGGTTCAAATCCCGGGTCTCGAAAATATGACATGATAATAATATATTAAATTGTCTAACGATAAAGGAAACATTATGAAATATCCTGCAGGTCAGAGAGAACTTCGTCAACTATTTCTCGAAAGATGTGTAAAGTCCACCAACCACACAGTTGGCCAGTGTGTTGGATTATGGCCTGATTCACCTCGCATTGGAAGAAGACCCGTGCCCAGCCGTGGGACATTAAAATGGGTTTTATATATATATATATATATATATATATATATATATATATATATATATATAACATTTATTTAAAAAAGATATTTAAAAGTAACGATATAACCATTACCACATAAAATTACGTTTTTGTTTACAAAAAGTAAGCTATCAAATCTGTGGGAAAATGGCGGCTTGAAAATGAAAAGTTAATTATAGTTCGCCGAATAAGTAAACAAGGCGGACACCCGCGTCGAGGCTTCTACGTATATTTATTTCTAGGAATCAGCCTTTCCGCGTGCATCAGCATCATGCAAAATTACAAACACGAAACGTTTTTATTTATATATTTAACAACCCTAACTTGCTTTTTCTCGCGTATTCGCTCACATTCATAGACGTTAAAAAATACTTGTTTTTACTTTATGTACCTCAAATAGAAGTCAAATGGGGTTTCTTATAACAATGTAATCTACACATATAATAAAATTCTAACTAAGTCGAATCTGTACATTAAATATTTTTTGAAAAATCTTATTGAAATAGACATTATTATCGATACAGAGTCCGAATCTTTAGTTTTTAGAATTTTTGTCTGTCTGTCTGTCTGTTACCGCATCACGAGAAAACCACTGGACAGATTTTGATCTTTTTACCGCGGGAAAGTATCTTATTTCTGAAAAAAAAACAAAAACTACATTGTAAGAGTATACTAATATGTAAAACTTAAGATATTGGTTTTTGGTCATCTGAACGCGGACCGACTATTATTGAATACGAATCATTATTTTTCTTGATAATTATTTGAGAGTGAATATTGGTATAATAGAATTCAATTCACTTTATTATAATAACAAACAAGTAATGAGAAAATTATATTAATAATTGGAGACTATATTTTATAAACTCTTAGGATACTTTACTTAAATCTAAATCATAAAAAAAACGTAGATCTAAATGCTCTCCGAAAGTTTTCACACATTTTAATAATATATTTTAATTATTGTACAGACTTTTATAATTTTATTATGCATGATTACGGAAAAAGCAAGGACTGTCCGCGGAGTAGCAGAATATGGAAAAGATTGTATCGATTTCAATCGCTTACTTTTTTATGACTATGAAGCGTTCATTATTTTTGTTGTTTAACGAAGTTACGGTTTGTGAAGAGAATATAAAAAAGGAAAATGATTAATAATCAACTTGGCTTCAACAGTCGAACGGCAATGTTATAACTGTTTATTTTCGGCTCTAACTTAAATAAAGTGGCTCAATATGGAACAATGTACCTAAGTCGTAAAATTATTTATTAAATATTTCAACATAAAGCTGCGGTTACGTATCTAGGTTATTTCTGAAAATAATGAAAAACAGTAGGCATTAAAATAATGGTGTGGGAACATTATGAGTTTTTACTACCCGTAATTTCTTTGTATAGGTAGTGATCTTACAATAAGTTAAATTACAAGCAAGATATTAATATAAACTCTATATAATATTTTGTTACTAAATGATAGATGGAAACATAAATGAAACCATACAAACACATTAATTTTGGATTTATTTATTTAGAATCCACGTTGTAAAGTTCCAAACTTACACATAATGTCCGTTTAAAAAAATATAAATATGGCTACAAAAAGGACAGTAGGTTCCTGCACGGTATGGCTAAAAGTAAGAAAACTTAAACTGTATGTACGAATTAAGTATCGCCATCACATTCTTATAACAGTAATACGTCACAAATTCATTAAACATTCTACCTGAGCGTATTAAACGTAATTTCACTATAAATAATAGCTTTAACATTAATTTTAATAAAGAATGAAATTCTAAATATACAATAAATGTCAAAAGAATAATATTCTATCTACAATATACAGGTAACAAACATTTATCTATGTACATTTTATTCGGACTAGTTCACGGTCATAATCGAAAAGTTTTTAATATATTTTTTTTACAAATTTTTTACAAAAGTGAACACCGATCGCATTTTAACAATAAAAAATAATTATTAATCAATTGTCTGCCAAAAAATATGTAAATGAATATCTAAAATGGTTATATACTAATTCGAATATTTAAAATGGCTGTCATAAGTATGAAACATAATGTGTTGACTCAGCGCCAGGTGCTGCTCATCTACAGTAAAATCTCTCTAATGTATGCAATAGCGATACTGTAACACTATACGTGTTAATTTTATGTTTTATGAATTTAAATTGCTTCCTTCATAACATATGAGGGACGTGCATTTTAAAATACGTTTACCACCCACGTTTTTGACAACGATACAATAAAAAAACTATGAACCGATGAAAATCTCAATATATATCAAAACAAATTGTATTGAACGTAATGCGAAATATATAAGGAGTTCACTTTTATATTTTTAAATTGTATGTAATAGCGAAATTCAAAATTTCACTTGTAAATTATGTCATCTACAAACTAACCATTTATGTACATGCGGCACACCGCATAAAGCTCTCTTAAAAAGTTACAAAATTTTTTTAACATATAATAATTAACCTATCTATTTGTTTATATACAATTATTGCTATGAAAAGTTGCGCTTAAAACGCATCAAACACCATCAAGTGGCTTATTGCCGATACTTATTAAATACAAATTAAATGCAACAGTAACGATTTATTCTCTGTCTAAAGGTATTTGGAAACGTAGGGATATTATTTTTTGACTTTACTTCTGGTAATTTAAAAGCATATATATATATATGTAAATAAAACGAACAGTTTAACTGTCACGGATATAGGTATTAATGTAATTAATATTTCAGACAAAACCTGAATGATTTGTTTTTAAACTTTATGATTAAATGTCCTAGATTTTTTCATTTATATAGAGAATAAATCGTAATTATTATAGCAACTAAATCTATAACATGATTGGCTTTAACCATGATATGCTCACATAATTGATGAAAAAATCTACAAAGCTAAAAATTACTGAGTGGCAAATTAATATTTCAAATTGTTTATTCCATATTTGCTAAACCAATTTGACACAAGATGAGTTCAAAAGGTTTAATAGATATAAAATTAATATATTTAAATATCAACATTTAAATATTTTGTAGGCCATATTAAATTACATAGAGATATTTAAAAAGACTTTTTAATTAAAGATAAAATTATCTTTAAATTGAGATTCTCTTACGTAGTAAGAATATTTTTGTGGAAAGTGAATATTAGATGCACATTACTGTAGAGTCTACGGTGATTTTGTTTATTTAATTGTATATCAGTCGCGTATTTGATGATGTAATTTTTATTAAAGTTGAATCTATATATATTATTAAAAGACATGAATTTAACTATAAAAATAAAATATAAAGCTGATCAGACATTAATCTCAGTCTTATCTCTAAAAGTATAAATGTCGTAAATATTTAGGACACCTATTGGAGTTCACCATTTATATTGGCAAATAATATATTTAACTATTGACTAAAATATCATCTATTCAAATATTTAATACATTTTACTTTAACGGCATAAAGAGCCGCATAAAGAAAAAGAAAATAAAGTCGGCAGTCGAGTTGTATCACTGAATCATTTAGGCCTTCCAAAGTCGTTATAGGAAATAAAAGTAAAGGAGTTACCTTAGCAGGAAATTTATTCCCACTAAAATTTAAAATTCTATTTCACGCTTTATAAGCTGTTTTGATCGGGGGGTTCATAGTCAGTGGATGATGCGGACGAGGGCGCCTGAGACGCGCGCGCCCGCGCTAGCGTCTATGCTAGCGCGGGCGCGGCGGCCCTTGCTCAGGGACGATGGGGATGGGCTGAGCTTAAAGATGAACTACTCACACCGGAATCACTGCTCTTTTCGGACGCACAAGGCTCCCCTCCGGCTACGAATTTAACGACATTCAATTTATGGTCAGATTCACAGGTATCATCTCTCGCTCCTCCCGGTAGACCTCCAGTACGTACGCTGGTCTTTTCTCCAAGCGTCCCAGGGTAACGCTCGATTCTGTCGCATTCCGCGTCGTCGGGCTGTCGTCGACGGATAGAGCGTTTCGCTTGAGGAGCTGGCTCTGGAGGCCTATGAGATGGTTCGTCAGTTCTATGAACGAGTGGAGATGTACGCACTCGAACTGCACCTACACCTACTCCAGCCTCATAGCAGCCAGAATCGCGGGGAAATTGACGTCGGCCAAAAGGGGAATCACCCCCTTCAGAACTGGAACCACCGCCCTCGCCTTCACCTTCTCCTTCGCCACCTAATTTAATAATTTACACTACTTTATTTATTAATAAAGTACACTTTGAATTATTGCAATACTTTGTACAGTGACCCTTTACATATACAAAACACTTACTTTAATTTGTTTTTTCATCTAACAACAAAGAAATGAAGTATATTTATTAAGAATTTAGTAATTGTTAAGAAATTAACTATATTGTTAAGAAAATAAGTAGGTATATATTTTAAAACTTGTTAAATATCAATAAAAATAAAATCAAAATTTACAACTCACATTCAAGCTGGTGCAGCAATTGTACTGCGGCAAGTATACGCGTGCGATGATCAGGAGTCATGATTCCCAAATAGTCTAAATCAGAAGGTTCAATTTCTTTGAAAAGTTCAATGTCTTCATAGCCGTTTCTTGAAAACGCAACCATATATTCTGGTAAATCTATTCTTCTTAACAGTTCTTCAACTGTTCTTGGTCTTGTTTCCCAAAGCCTTTCACGACTTTTACACCATTTTGATGATCTTGATCTCATAGTATCTCTTTCAGAAAGCACCTCTACATTAGCAAATTTGAAATTTCCAACTTTGTTGTTGAGAACACCACGCCAAATGCCGGAAGCGTTCATATTGATTACTTCTATAATATCTCCTTTCTGACAACAAAATAGAATTATATAAGAAATGTAATCAAAATGTTAGAAATTATAAAACATTATTTATTTGAAAGCTTTATTATAGGTAAGCTTTCCATGCGTGTTAAATGAGACTTGTGAGACTTTGCCGCTTGACCGATTTAGATAAACAATATTAGAAATAAAAAGTACAATTTAATTTTATTTCCAAGTATTTAGAAATTCTAATTCTTACACGTAAGCTTTTTGCTGAAAGTAAAATTAAGGTATATTATAGGTAATAAACGGTCTGTAAAGGAATATTAATGCCATACCTTGTATCTCAAGGCATCTTTCTCATAAATGTTGGGGATGTAATCCACGAGTGCTCGAGCGCGGCACAGCATTTGCGGTACAAGCAGACTCCGCCCCGCTGGACTTAATTCTATGTTTTCTTCTGCCGAGAGAGACGAATGATTACTACCGGCACGAACCAATGCCTGCGTGCCTGTACATAAATATGAGTTTGCTTAGAGGTCTAAATAACATGCCGTTTCTAGCCAAAATGATCAATGAAATTTAAATACCTGATGTCACACATTTACTCTGCTATTCTTGCTGGTATTTTAAAGTTTATTTATTAGTAGGAAATTCAATATTAGCTGTTGGGGAATAATATATACATGAGATCAGTGACATAAATAATGGGCATTATGGTACATAGAAAGGAAAGACAAACTTATTTACAAATATTTTTATATTACACAGACAAAAACTTAATAAATCCACTCACTACTGCCTGAGCCGCTGGGAAGACTCTCAAAAGAACTATTAGAACATGGAAACGCTTGATCGCCACTTGTACGTCGGTCGGAGGGAACGTCTGGCCCTCTTTCCTGTCTTAATCTGGATATTTTTCTTTGAACATCTTGCCGGAGACCTCTTACTTTGCCCGCTAAATTTGAAACTCCTTCACATTCTTCGGCTGACTGGAATTATTGTTAAAACGCATTAGACAGGAAGAGAAATCAAATACAACTCGATTTTTTTTTAATTTTATTGTTTCAATGTTTGTAAACGAGCTTAATTAAGGCAATTTATTTTTTACCTTATGAACAGTTGCTATATGTTGTGAGTCTGTTTCGCTTTCTTGATCTTCATAATCCGACGACGCCGGTGATAAGGGATCGATGCCTATCCGATAGCCTGACATTTGCCTGTAACCTCTTCTGCAGTCTCGTTCCGATCGGCTTGATTCTAGCGATATGGCAGACAACCGCGAGCCTATAGATTGTATATCGGACGCAGCGTAATCCCCGCTTTCCCTATCTCTCGCAGTTCGCAAGGGTATCACAGTGGTTGGGTAGGGGCCGCTTTGTGGAATTATTAATCCTCTCCGAGGGGCTCTCGCTAAACTTATATCGCCAGCGGTTCTCAATGATATGACTCCTTCGCCTCTAGGCTCATTTCTTAGATTTAATGTAAAACAAACACGCCCATTTTGAAAAGAAGCTGCCGGCGCTCCGCTTCCCATGAGAAAATCTTCAGGATCACTTTCATATGGTGGTTCATCGTACCAATGACCTCTTCCAGAGAGACCTCTTGCTTCGTCATCATACATATACGTGTCGTCTGTAAACGAGTCTTCGATTAGGCTTGCAATGCGCAGAATTTAAGAGTGCAAATAAAAATATACGTGCTAACATAATATCGAAAAAAGTTTACCGGTTAATCCTTCCTACAAAGTGGCGCTTCACTGACAACACTGCGAATAAGCTGTTTACGAACATCGGAAAGCCGTGCGTGGTTGATGCAAAATATTTTAAAACAACATGCATACAGCATTTTGTCGCAAATTAAACATATTTTTGTTGGATGGAGATGAGTTCACTAACATTTTTCCGTTACATTATGCAACACATTTATATTAGCAGACACTTGTTAGGAGAAACGAGTTTTCTCTCTTGGAAGACATTTTTATTTTCTTATTTGCATAAACAATTATAATATGATTGATGGAAGATGCACATCGAAAGCAAACCGAATGAATGATGCCGGTCGATAAATCAATACACATTATCAATAATAAGCATTCCGCAACGATGACCAATAAATTAAGTGTCAAAACATCGTGCAAGCAACATGCTGTAAGAATTCATTTTTTTCTAGAAGCTTGAATATTTTGACTTACACAAATATTCATAATAAGTATTGCAAGTAAAAAGCGTCAAACAGAAATAAAAATAGCTCTTTTGAAAACAATAAAAAAATTAAGTCAAAATATCTCAAGGCGACTAGATATAAACATTGGGTTTACGACTAGATAGATGTTGTAAAACAGTAGTAATATTAATAATTTTGTAGTAAATTATTGCTGTTTTATATTTTATTGCATAAGATATTGTTCATAAAAGACAAAGTGGTTTTAAATGGAACATAAACTTGACGTTTTTTGGCTCCTTATAAAATTTATACCTTGTGTGTAAAAGAAATGAATTATTTCATATTATTTTACGACAATCTTATTTATTACTACATTTTGATATTCCCACTAAAAAAAACAAGATTATTAAGAATACTAATTTTGAACATAAAGAAATTTTAAACTTATATTTCGTTTATTTTAACATTTAAATGTGAAAAAGGAAACTTTGAATGAGATCATTTTAATATAACATTTATAAATCAAGCCTTATTGAAATGATAATATAAAATAATCGTCACTTACTTCATATACTATATATAAAATATAACAATTTTTAAGTACAAATTATTTAAGAATAATAAATTCAATAAGGCTTAATAAAGAAAGATACAGTATTGAATTCATAAATACCTCCGAACGGGCCGCGAACCCCGTCTCGACCCATGTTCATAAGACCGTGTCTAATATCTCGTAAAATCTGAAACAAATACAGTTTAAACTTATAATACTCTTACTGTAGTTTCAAGTGTTCTATCAATAGAACTTTGACTTTTAGTTTTTGCGTTACTTTTTGCGTTCGTGCGTGAAGAAGAACCTTGAACTGGATCCAAACAAAAATAAATTGCATTATATACTAGCGATAGTCTGCGGCTCTGCTTGCGTACTTCATCATCACCTATTTTTCATTTCCGGGGGATGTACTGTCTAAAACTTTCTTAACACCTACTCCTTATAAGTAATTCACTTGCCAAATTGATAGCATTTATATTTTCTGAAATTCACCAGTGAGTGGTATTTCGTTTTTATATATGTATTATTAGTAGATTAAATCTGCATATTTTTTTCTGAAAATCATAAGGTACAAAAACTCTCCGATATCATTTAGGCGCTAACTTCACTAAAATTCTCCGTAATGAGATTATAATTTTAGGCCGAAGTAAGGTATCTGATTTGCATAATCACTGAACGCTGAAGCTCAAGCGATCATTGAGTTTATTTGCCGGAATTTATAATAAAAGGGTAAATATTTAAGACTTTACAAACCATAATTCCTTTTTCAATCATTGGTGAATAATTATTTATATATGTGTAGTAGAAATAAGGTTTAGTAGAAATTCATTATATGTAATTTAATTTGATTTGTTACATTTTTCTTCTAACATGTAAAACCTTATTATTATTTAAAGCCAGTTTGTTGTCTCGAGCGGGGTGAGGCGTCATCATGGCATTCGTTGAAGATATGTGGATTGGTAACGTTGGTTGATCATAGCGAATCATTGGAGAGTTGTTTCGATATTGTAGATGTAAGTGAGATCAGTTTCGAGGAACTGCTGCTCAATTAAACTATAAGAATTATCGTTCGTATCGTTTCTAGTTTATAAAATTGTGATTTCCCTCATTAAATTGTATTGAACAATGAATACTTTATTTTGTGCCCGCATTGCAGCCTGAAAACGCCCACAAGATTCAAAACCACTAAAAATGATGTCGTTAGAATATGAATACCCATACTATGCTATGTAACAGTGGTAGTCCAGTGGTAACGCCCTCGCTTGGGAAACCGAGTGAAGCGGGATCAAATCCCGGATCTCACACCTCCGATATTTTCACGTGCGAATAATTTCTAACATGAATATCACTTGCCTTATGGCGAAGGAAAACATCGTAAGGAAACCTGCATGTGTGACAAAATCTAGCAAGTTTTCGAAAGACATGTGAAGTCCCCCAACCCACACTTGGCCAGGGTGGTGGACTATGGTCTGAACCCCCTTGTTTCGAAGAGAGGTCCGTACCCAGCAGTGGGACGTTAAAAAGGACTGAATACAATACAATACTATACTTATACATATGAAGATATGTATAAGTATTCATTTTACATAATATATAATAATTAGCACAATGAAAGGTATCTAAACTACTTATCATGTAATGTTAGTAACTTCAATATAAATACTTTTCATACATTTCAATATATTAGCTTGTCGCTTAAATGTATTAGTATCCTTCTTGTATTTTATGCTTGAAAAGAAAGTTTATAAGTCGAACAGTAACCTACATCACTCTTTGGCTTTTAACGACACCTATATCTACATATATAGTACTATATATAGTATATAGGCTTTTCTCAGCACCTCTTAGGGCTCACATGGGATATTAAACTCTGGAAAATGACTACTTTTAGTCTTCTACTTTAGCTTAGACTCGTTTTTTTTCATATAAATTTGTAAAGTTTTATTTTACTTTTATTTATTACTAACGCGAAAAAAAACCGTATTTGCGTAACACCGCCGGTTGTATCGTATAGATACCTAATAGCTTTAGTTATACATCACTCTTGGTTCACTAAACGTATCGCTATACTTGTCGTTGAGTGACAGTAGAAAAAGTCTTCGAAGCCAATCTATATTGTTAATATACGTAATTTACCACACACAAGAATCGAACCTTCAATCTTCCCCGCAGTAGACAGCCTGACGTATAACAAATATATGTATGTACCAAAAGTCGTAATTGAATATTAATTTTTTAAGACCAAACAACACGTAATATATACATACAATATATCAATCCCTTTCAATGAGCTTTTGCCATAGTATTTGCGAACACAGGTATAAATATTCAGAGGCTGTAATAAAAACGACCACTTTCACGTAAGTAGAAAAGTATTGAACGTTAACTTAATTTATGCACATTTTGTTAGAGCCGACACGCCAAGCAAATGGGGGGATTTGCGAGGTTCGAGCAAATGAGAATTCATGTCATGGAATACACTAGGGTTTTGTAATCATTATTATATAAAATTAACGATTGTTATTTTTAATAACAATATTATAGGTAGTGTGCTACGATATATATATATATATATATATATATATATATATATATATACAATTTATTTAAGTTTATTAATTTTAAAACCTTTTTGCCTTAAATAATTTATCATTAAACGAAACGAAATATATAATTATGGTCCAAAAACACAAAAGTATGACAAGGCTGGTTCATTAAAATTATTTTAAGCATTATATTTTCGCTAGTTAAAATGTTAATCCTTACATTTTTTTGTCGAGGTTAAGCTTACTGGTATTTGAGGTCACTGAAACTGGGGAAATTGTTTATTACCTCTATAAAATTTCAATGATCGACTTCAACGATGAGTTTCATTTTCATTTCGAATGTAGCATATTTCTGGGAAAATGATTTTTAAACCAAGAAGTTAAAGTCGCTTTTCTAAGAATATATAAAATATATAGGTCCCTTTAATATTCAAGAGTAGTAGATTTACGAGCGAAACGTACTTGGTGAAGGGCTTCCAAAGTTTTGTATAGAAGCGATACAACTGCCGGTAATAAGCTTAGCTCAAGATTAAGGCATGATTAGCCGAAGGCTCAGCTCGCACGCCCAATGAAATCACGAGATTAAAGGCTCTTTTACACTACATTAATTATAATAATGTGTACTAAATAACAAGGTTTGCATATCTAAGCATGAAAAACACTCTAAATTAGCCGTGATAACGTATAGATAAATAAACGTGTGTCTTTTGATAAATACTTTTAAATTGAGCTGGAAAATAATGTATTACCTCTTCTTGTTCCCTCGCTAATTTATCTTTTTTCTTCATAGCTTCCTGAACTTTTAACTGGAACAAACACAAGCTCATTAATCATTTAGTTACTTGGCTAATTTCACAAATAATACCTGAAAGAAATGAAAACTTAATGTTTGTGTCAGTTCATAAAAGAAAACAACTGAGAAAGTTCTTATTATCTAATTATTGTAAATATATTTACATGACCAAACAAATGCGTTCTACAATACAATTAGCATTTACTCATTATATAGATTACAATTATTAGAATTAAAATACACGGACCGTTTTTAAATAATACTAGTTACTGTTGATAAAGTGTTAGAAAAACGTAGCAAAACTAAATGCAAACAAAACGATGACTTGGCAGTTGCAAAGTATATACACAGACTGGATAAGATACAAAAAATGTAAATTAATATCCAATATTTGAATATCACAAAATAAAAAAATATCATGCTGACATGAAAAAATAGCATGCCGGAAAAATCGCTCGTGCAAATTCGTGCATTTCAAACGCTACAGACAAGTGCAATGCGTGCTGTCAGTTTTTTACAGTACACATATTTTTATAACATTTAGAGTTTAAAATAGGCAAATTATATATGAATGATAGATCCACCTCCTTTCTTTGAGCATACCAAATGGAAACCAAAAATGTAGGCAATGAGAAATTTTGAATTTTGAATTCTGTTACGACTCTGTTGGCAAAATAATCGACTAAACATACATAGCCCAGTAAAATTAGCGTTTATATTGGAAAAAATAATAATGGAATTTTTAATTTCAATTCTGATTGTCTTCAATATTTCTGTATAATCCAAACAAATTCCTGTATGAAATTGAAACGAAAGGAATTATACCTTAGTAATACTTTATACTATTACACATTGCATAGTATGTATACTTGTATAGTTAGTTGTTATTAATTGGATTATTAATTGATTATTTATTGTTTTTAAGTTAAGTTTTTATTTATTGAAATTGAAATTTTGAAGAATTATTAATTATTAATTGAATTATTTTATTATTAATTGAAAAGCTTTAAAAAATATCTGGACCGGTTACAATGTACTAACTTTTAAAAGTAAAAAATAGTACGGCGAGATTCTTTGGATGTTTTTATTGCCCATACTCTATAGATTTTATATCGATTTGGTCAAAAGTTTTTATAGTTATAGGAAGATCCAAGTGATGTTTTAAAGTCGTATTTTAAATATATTGATACTAACATTGGGATTGGTTTGGATTGCTGTAAGTTATATAAATTTATGAAAATATGAATCATAATAGGAAAATATATCTTATTATTTTTTCCTGGAAAAATATACTAAATAAGAGTTTTCCTGGGCTATTTTTAAGACTATTTTTTTAGTAAATTCTATATTTGTCAGTTTTGCAAGTCTCTTTTATTTTTTTTAGTTTTGCTTTAATTGGTAACATTAATATTATGCCTCTTCCTATTGAATAAAAGAATTATATCCTGAATATTTTTTTGAAATTTGCCGTCCAGAGCGTAACAGAAAGTTTTCCTGCACCGATGGTACGAGAGATACTGCTGGACTGGTTTAATTTAAAAATTACCTAACGAGGCTATACATCTGTCTAAAAATATTACTATTAGTATATAAATGTAAATTGTTTCTATTTTTAATAAAGAAATTCCATGTCCACAGATTCTCTCATATACAGTACATTGCAGGAAAACGCTGGCTCACCCTATGTATCGTTTCTTCGAAGGTGTTTGGTTGGGCGGCATTCATTTGAAAGAAGCGGAGGCGATCATAGTCTCTTGGGTCAACCATGGACCTCAGAGCCGTATCTGGGCCAGGGCCGAGACCCAAGCCACTTTGAAGCACGCTGTCCGGTGTGTCAACCTGGAGGAAATGGAAATATTATCACACTAATCCTCTACGGGATGAACTCCCGTAGTTTAGTAATTCAATTGAATAAATAAAATATATATTATTATATCTGTAAAGAAAATTATTTAATTCTACTCTAAGCAAACTATACCTACTTTTTATTTGTCTATATCACTAATACTAAACCTGTCCAATAATTCTAGCACTCGCTATCTATACAATTTTGCAAATTTAAAATACTTCAGCTGAGCCTTCAGATTAACTAAAAAAAATTATTGTTGTCAAGTCATTCTGTAACTTTATTGAGCTTAAATTTAAGTCATTTATCAATAACAGTTAGGTATTTTTCTTTTTAAGTTTGTTTGCAAATATAGTTAACGGAGTCGACTTTGGCGCACCAGCGAAACTTTTGTACAAATCACGGCGTGGTTGTTGTGATAAATTATGCGAAATTACAGAGATTGTAGATTATTAATTGACCCAACTTGGTGTTTTATTTAATAAAGTATTATTTATATGAAAAAGGATAGAAACATATGAATGTTGAGAGTCATAATTTTTTTTTATATTGGTTGTAGATACTTTAAATTAATATAATATAAATTAATGTTAATAATAATATATATAATTTACATTATAAAACATCAGCGAAAGGTATTTTTATCCTAATACGGTTGTAAGTCAAAAGTAGATAAGAGAAAGAGATATTCTCAATAGTATGATCGTAATGACAATGTATGTGAAAATGATAGGACTATAAATTTTGAACAGTCCGAGTAAGGTTCCGGGTCCGTATAGAAATGCTCTTTGTCGCCTTCACATTATTCCCTTATCAAGTGCGAAGTTAATGGGCGAGCTTTGTACGACCTATGATTAATCGATCCGCGCCTATAAAACCTCATTGTGATGCAGATATCCTTAGCGTTTTTCGTTAAGTGAAAGTGATTAATGATAAAGCTTGTAAATATTGAAATCTAAGCTTTATTTATTTCATTATTATAAGCAAAAAATATTATATTATAATTTATATTTGCCTTTTTAAATTTTTGCTCTAACGCCATATATTACAAATTCAAGCATTATTTTGAGCTAATTTTTGGTAAAAAATACACCTCATATTCACATCAAAGTATTCATTTTGTTTCATATTTTAATTACACGTGCTGGACTTGACCTGGCAACATTCAAATAAGACTCAAGTTTTAATATTAATGCAAAACAAACCTGAATAAACTCACGTAACCAACGTACAAAGAAAGTAATCTATGTCAGTAGCATAGCTTTGAAAATATTACCACAGTAAATGTGATAAATGCGCCCCAAGGAATAACTTTTGTAGTTGCGCAACTTTAAAGGCTTCACTTTGTCCAGATATCCTTTGTTGTGTTGGGAATAATTTGAAAATTTAAAGTTTTAACTCTATTACATTTGCGTTACTATAATATTTTAACAATAACAATATAGTGAATTAAGTAATATAATAAAAAAATAGTAATATAAGAAATATGATACATAATTATAAAATATCATAAATTATATAAAATCTTTTTATTTCTTATTAATAAAATATTACCATCATGACATTTATTTTAACAATAAAGAATCATTTATATTTTATTTACAATATTCTACAATAATGTATTTTTTTTTGTTTTGATACACTACAAAAAATAATTAGGTATTATATTACATAATAATTCAATATTCACCATAACAGCAAACAACAAAGACCTACATAAACTTAGGAGAGTCCCATCTTATCAGATGAAGATGTTTCAGAGGATATTGGCATGAACGTGACAATGTGCCAATATAGTTTTATTATCGATATCACGGATTTACAAAACCCATAATGCTTCAACAGCAATATCACAATCCGAGTTGGCGAGAAAAATAAAATTGGACAAATTTTAAAGTCGCAGATTTTTAAGAACTTTATGGTGATTGTACAATACAAACTGTTTAATATTAATATCATTCCACTTACTCGTGTATTAATATTGGCTTTTTGACCTGTCGATGCTTAGTTGGAAGAAAGCATCATACTAATGGTTCCGATTATAATCATTTTCTTAGCTAGTGACCTAGGACTACAGAGTCAGATATTATATGGATTTTGATTATTAATCACAGTGGTTACCATAAGCAATATTATTCGCCACTCCGTTTGGATAAAGTGCTGTCACGTTAGTATATAAATATAAGATAAATATAAAGCAAATCGCTGTAATCCCTGTTAGAAAATTCCTCGAGCAATCCATAAAGTATTCTTTTAATCCTCTAATCACAGCTGGACAAAGCCCCCGAATAGCCGAAAAAAGCAACTTCTGACAGGACTAATCCTAAGTGCAACTTGCCCGATAAGGATTATACTCGCGCCCTAATGGCCTTCATCCCTTCTCCCAACAAACGGCAATAACTCAGGCGCCGTCTTGGCTCAACCGACTTAACTTTGGCAGCCGTCATTTCTCAACGGCATGCGGTGACGTACCCCAACGTCTAGAGATTAATAAATATACGTGAACGTGGAAAAATGTAGCACTTAATTCGGTCGGGATGAGTTGCGTATTCAGGAAAAGTTCATGAAGTTGGTTATGTAATAAAATGTTTGGGAATATATTATCTCCTTTAAGAACAGATAAAACTTTATATGATTTTTATATGAATATAAATGGTTTCTAGAAGTATATTATACTGTGTTATAAAGCAGTGTTAAGTCTACTGCGTAGAGCAAATTGTTATAGTAAAGAAATCTTTCAGTTTTAACGGTTAGAAAAGAGAAAGAAGTGACACCTTACTTTACTTACTTGCAAGTCATAGGAAAATCTAAAGTCTTTAGATCTTAACAGAAATCCCGCCAGAGACAAGGATGGTCCAAAGATTTGGTATCTTCATTCATGGCGAATGATGGTGAATTACAGTTATACCCTAAAGCCGTTTCCCGACTGTTATATAAAGGTATGTATGACAGTTGGGAACGCCTCACCCGCGACTAACCCCGCACCCCCCTCGCGACTCTCTGTTTAGATGCCTTCGTTAGACGACTGTATGGATTAATAGACTGTGCACCTTACCTAATTTTTTGTTGCACTCTTCGTCGTCAATATTGAATCCTTCTAATCAAGTAATTTCTTCAAACGAAGAAGCTAATAGAAGATTAATAAAAGATGAAAATTATATATTCAGGCCACGTGGCAAAACGCAAAAATATGTCATTTTCATAGATTCTTTAGTTTTTTAATACTGATGGCAATTCTAGAATGTCATCTTGTCTAAGACCCCAGACGTGTCCTATACCAGTTCCATGCCGCGTTTTATCTTTCAACAGGTAATTGTTATACACCATTTATAGATATTATTATACAACTATTTACTGATTTCTATACAATGCCATTCACTTACTCATCTAGGTATACCGATAAAATTGTAGTTATTAGAAGCATTCATCGCTCAGTAAGCAGTACTAGCCAATAAAAGCTAGTATCATAATTTTGGTTTATGTCACATTTTTAAGTAAACATATTTTTAAATATTACTTTTTCATAACAGTTCATATGTCACACAGCAACAACGTATGCAGAGAGAACTCCGAGTTGTAATAATCACCACTTAGACAAACTATTCCCTAACTACTTGCACAGCCTAAAAAAACTGGTCATGTTAGCAATGCATACAAATGGGTTGCACGTCGCGTCATACTAATTGCTGCGAGTGCATGTCAAAGAAGGACCGGCGTCGCGCCGGATCAACATAATGGCGGATGGGGGAAGAGAATGTATGAAAAAAAGGAAAGCAGACGCCGAGCTTACATACTTTTGCTAAGATTCGGTTACACGTTACCGTTGAGGACGTTTTGTTTGCTAACATGAAGATATTGAGGTACTTCCCGTCCTTCCCTTATTGTTTTATATTTATGAGAATATATTTATTTTATATGTTAGTGGGGATAAATTGATTTACTGGAAACGTGAAATGTTTTCATATAGCACTTCGCGATGTATAATATTGTCAGCTGTATGTCATCTAATAGAAACAGATAGAACCTTTTTATTTTATCTTCATCAAAAGTACATTCCTAAACAAATTTGGACATCTTATCTTAATAGCGCAATAATTCAAAAATTTGGTACCTAATTTTACTACAGTCTATGTTTAGTAAGCACAATAAAAATGATCATATTTATTACTAAGTAATAAAACAGATATACTTTTAATAGCCACTTAATACTTTAGTTGCTAGAAGTCAAAAAGTAAGCTAGTTTTCACACACGGTAATATTAATTCCTGGTAATATTAATAACCTTTGTCTAATGTTAAAAAAAATACGAAAATAAAGATGTCATTGAATCATTTATTTATTTAGAACACTTCAATTCTCAATATTTTCCTCATATCTATTTATTCAAGCTGAAATATTTCTGAATACCACACTGTAAGTACTAAGTACCAACTATTCTAAAGTAATATTAATTTTTCACTTAATATATTATTCTATTCAACTATTATTCAACACAATGGTCACAAAAGCTAGATATATATATACACAAATACAACTATGAAACTCGTTTGAACACACGCCGAAGGCTCCATCCTTAGAGGCCTTTGCAGTCTAAGACCAAAAGTTCTGGACATGCTAATTATTCATGGGTGGACCATGCACAACTCTTGCGTAACTCTTCTATTTTGTTCACACACTTTAATAAACTATTAATAAAGAGTAGTATATGTTTTACCTGACTTAAGGTTCGTTCAGATAAGACCTTGAAAATGATTTAAAATACACTTCACAAGATGAATTCTATGACATTAGGCACATATATTATGATGGCATAAAATTTGTTTCTATATGCATGCGTTAATTTGCTCCTTTAAAAATAATATCTAAGCCACACAATATGAGTTTTACAGATGTACTAATAATTTATAATAATGTTAATTGTGGAATATCTGACCATAAATGTAGGAATCTAAATAAGAAGTAATTTTCTTACCCTCTGTGGTGGCAGTGTTTGTCGTGGACTGTGAGAATGTTTTGGCGAACAGGAACCATGCTTCTCTTTTCTATGAGATTTTAATCCACGTAATAGTCTTGAAAATGTTGTCACCTTCTTCTTAGCCGTGCCAAGACAATTGTCTAATAAATTAAATAAATTTATATTAGCTTTATGCACAATAATTACAAAGCCTTTCTTTACAGCCAAAAATTTTCTGTTACAATATTTTTGTTCGATTAAATATTAAAAAAATATCTTTGTTGAATAATTTTGTAAAGGGCGAATATTTTGTTTAAGTCGAGTCTTAAGTATCACTACATTTACATTAACTTGATTATGAAACCTCTAGACAATTGAGACTGTAGTCTGTTTTTCATTACTCACCGCTAGGAGGGAACTCGTAAAAGTACGCAGAGCGGGGGCTGAGACAGCTGTAACAAAATATATTTTTTTTTAATTTCATGTCTATGTTCAAAATTTACTATAAACTTTAGTTTCTGAGTCAGTGTAAATGATATAGGTATGTAAAATTTTACACGAATAATACCTATATGTAAATTTGTAAGCCCTTGATATTATATGAGTATATGTCACAGCAGCTAATACCTTTCCTTTCTTGTATATCTATCCCTAATTTTTACTGCATGTTTTATTAGAAAAATTAATAAAGAATTTTAATTGAAATATATCTATATTATGCGATCGCAGATAAACAGGTCAAATATTAGAAAATATAGTTGTTTTAACTTTTACTTCACTCTCTACTAATCTTACTCTCCAATATATATATATATATATATATATATATATATATATATTGTAAGATCATTAGCTCAGGCTTGGTACCTATATTCTTAAAACTATGTTGGTCTCTTTTCGCTCAGGCTTGGTTAAAGGGTATTTTAGTATGCATTTTAAAAACTCATGCAATATTAGTTATTCAGTTAACCCACAAAAACACATTAATATGCCAATAAATAAACTCACTTTTACGTGTTAATTTTGTGTGATAAATAAGGAAATAGCAAAAACCAAAATAGTGCCGAATGAGTTGGTATTAGATATGATAAGCATTTATCATACACACCATAGCAAAAACACGAACGGTATCGTATTGGAGTATGAAGTGATGCAATGAATATTGATTTTTGGTTCAATTGAGTTGGCCGAATATAAATTTACGTGAGCAATCACATTTGCGAAAATCAGCGCATACGGCTGTGAGGCATTCGGTGAATGCGACGTAAAAGGCAAAAATTTAAAAAATACACCACGCGGAAGCGACGGTTTCCACGCAACTACTAATTCCTTTGATTGAGTAAACACGTTAACGAATAAGGTGAATTATTGATAAACACATAATGGATTACTGTATGTTGATGTAAAAACGCAATTTACCTAGGAAATAAATTTTAATAGTATTTAGGCCAAGCATTAATCTTGATTGCATCGTGTCACTCACGATTTTCATGTAAAATGAGGTGAAGATTGATGGTTTGTGACGACCAATTTTATTCTGTGCATACATTACCTATGTAGTTATTATAGCTTTTTGACGTTTTATATGCATTAATAAATGGGGTACATTACGTTTTTATGGCTTTTATTAAATTACTTTGGTATCATGTAATGTAATTTGGAAAAAATATGCTCTATTACACTTGCATTTTGGATGAATTTGCAGTTAAGCAGTATACTATTAATAAGACATAACAAAAACTTAGCAAATAATAGTAATTTATATATATACTAGCATTGCCCGCGGCTCTGCCTGCGTTTCAGATGACCAAAAACCAAATTCATAGGTTTTATTTATTAGTATACTCTTACATTGCAGTTTTTGTATTTTTTCTCGAAAATGTGATATTTTCCCGCGATAAAAAGTATCCTATATGTTAACCAGCTACCATTATACCAAATTTCATCAGAATCCCTCCAGTAGCTTTTCAGTGATGCGGTGACAGACAGACAGACAAAAATTCAAAAAACTATAGATTCAGCCTCTGTATCGATAATAATGTCTATTTCAATAAGATTTTCCAAAAAAATATTTAATGTACAGATTCGGCTTACTTACAATTTTATTATATGTACAGATTATATATAATAAATAAATCAAAAATCTTGCCAAACAACAAAAAATGAAACAAAATTCTTCTTATTAGTTTAATTAGATAGTGGGAAAACAAATACACTTATACCTATTACATAAGACATGCTTGAGAAGAACATTCTTATCCCACCCATATAAGAAACGTGTTAACCTCCTTCAACATTGTCGGTCGGGTAATTGCTTTTAAAACAAGCAACTATAACCGGTTCCAATTTAAACCACCGTCGAGCCATAGCCTATAGATAACTTTTCGATCCCCAACCATCACCTGCTCTTACATATTTGCACAACTTTGTTCGCAATATGATTTAGATACCAACGTATTGTATTTAACACCAAATTTAATATTTTTTATTTTATCTTTAAAGTTATTTAATTAATATCCTATGAACTTTACAATAATTAATAATTACACATTTTTATTAATATTTGCTAGTTAAAAGTTTATTTACTTGCAAAAAGTTTCAAGTTGTCTATGAAATATACATCTAAAACGTGGCTGTTTTGTAATTTTAGCTATGGTGAAAGTAAAGCAACGAGAAGTAGATAGCAGCATGAATGTAACGAAGCATTGCGCATTTATGCAGGCACTTAGATAAATCCAGGATTGTTAGGGCTTTTTCATGTTGATAGGAACACGCTTAATTACCAATGACGCTATAGAGTTTATAATGTTAAAATAAGATAAAACGGAAAGGTTTACGTATTGAGATAGTTGAACATTTTTAACATATACTTTGACTAGCACTGCCCGCGGCTCCGGCCGCGTTCAGACGACCAAAAACCAAGTCTTAGGTTTTACACATTAGTTTATTCTTACATTGCAGTTTATGTATTTTTTCTCAGAAATGAGATATTTCCTCGCGGTAAAAAGTATCTTATATGTTGACCAGGATAACCAGCTATCATCATACCAAATTTCATCAAAATCCTTCCAGTGATTTTTCCGTGATGCGGTAACAGACAGACAGAAAGACAGACAGACAGACAAAAATTCTAAAAACTATAGATTCGGCCTCTGTATCGATAATAATGTCTATTTCAATAAGATTTTCCAAAAAATATTTAATGTACAGATTCGGCTTCGTTACAATTTTATTATATGTATAGATTACAGACAATAGTGATTTTAAAAATATGTGCACATGTTACAGTCGAAACTCTTTTTCCAGTCAAAACTACTTGACTGATACAAAAAGACAAAAGTACTTTTGACTAACAAGGTTGAAATTTTTTATGACTGTAAGATATAACTTGGCGGGGGCACTCCGTGCCCCCCGATAAATTAGAAGGCAGTGGTAACCAAGTAGTCACATGATGACTAGAAATACTAATTGAAGCGGGTTCAAATCCCGGGTCTCGCATATTCCTCGCATAGTCTTCTGATATTTTCATGTGCAAATCATTTTTCAATATTTACCGGTTGCCTAACGGTGAAGGGGAACATCACAAGGAAACCTGCTTGACTGAGAGAACGTAACTAGTTTTTGAAATTCATGTGAAGACCGCTAACCCGCACTTGGCCAGCCTTGATCCCCTTCGTCATAAAGGGAGGCCCGTGACCAGCAATGAGACATTAAAAAGGGCCGAATGATATACTCGTACATCTGATCGTTAATCTTTGAAGCAGATCTCTATATAGCATATACAACGGAGTTTAGTTGGTGTTGTACGTGACATTGGCTAACTACATTGTGTACAATTGGCACATTTAAAGGCATTAATTACGAAGAGAAAAAAAATCGATTTAACAATTATTATACCAATGTCACATAGCTACTTATTTTAATTTATATTATTACTAGCGACTCACCCTCGCTTCGCTTGGGTTCGTCCCTAGCTAGTTTCCCAATACAAATTTTCATCCCCATTTTCACCCCTTAAGGGATGATTTCCGGGTTAAAAAGTATTCTATGTCTTTCCCAGGGTCTCAAACTATCTTCTTACCAAATTTCATCTAAATCGGTTTAGTAGATCCAGAGATAACCCCCTACAACCTCATAAACTCACAATCTCACAAATTCACAAATTTTGCCTCTTTATAATATTAGTACAGATTATTGTTTTTAATTTAAAACTATCAACATACTCTCGCTTTGCTTGGGTGCATCCCTCAATGCCTTTTGGTCGTTGTGCCAAATATTACTAACACTACACTATATGTCACTTTACGTCATAGTCTATCTGTGTACTAAATTTCATACAAATCAATATAGGTACATACAAATTTTCTCATTTATTATGGCAATTTAAAGAATGTTTATTAAAATTTCTTGGCAATGCTCTACGTATGAAAGACTTTTAAAAACTTGATATAAATATAATCTTTATATTATATTAAAAAACGTCTTATATGGAAACTAGAACCGAAAATTACACTAGATTAGAAAGTAAATCAATTTAAGATGTCAATTTCCTTTTTACAGCCGTTTTATAATTCGATTGACTCCGTACTTTATGTAATTTCAGTAGACCTCTACAATTTCATCGCATAAACACTTAAAACTTTAAACAGCTTAACGCGGTGTTGTGAGAGAATTAGGTAATAGCAACATTTTAATACTATACGAGTATATCCTACGCCTACAACTTTTCGCTTGTGAATAGTTCTTTAAAAAATTACAAGTAAAAAGATAGGCAGACAGATAGTATTTTTTACACAACGAAGACTTTAAACACCTATTCAAAGATAGGAATAGCGCAACCTTATGTATACTTAATTTTTTTACCAAATTAATTTATTACAATACATTTACTACAATTATTTACCCCCACCCCCCCATTAGTTTACTACAATTTAAATTAGCCATCGAAATCACTCCATAAGTGCCACCTCTATTTATTTTTCGAAATTTCGCTACAACATTGTTCAATCTATTTTATCTAATACTAGCGACTCACCCTCGCTTCGCTCGGGTTCGTCCCTAGCTTGCTTCCCAATACAAACTTTCATTCCCATTTTCACCCCTTTAAGAGATGATTTCCGGGATAAAAATTCTATGTCCTTCCCAGGGTCTCAAACTATCTTCTTACCAAATTTCATCTAAATCGGTTCAGTAGGTCCAAAGATTACTCCCTACAAACAAAAATCGAGTCCAAATAAAAAAAAACAAATTTCAGCGAAATCGTTAGAGCCGTTTCCGACATCGCCGGTATAAATAAATAAATAAATAAATATATTTTCTAGCCAGTGAGTCCCACATAACCATCTGTATGTCTACAGACGGTATGCGTAAATGCCAATTACCCAACATAAAAAAAAACGTTCGTCCCTAGATACGTTTTAACGGTTAGTATAGATATCCCAGTGGAACCGTA